TCCCAGTGGGGTGGAGGCGGCGGGGCGCGGGGTGCCCGTGGGGCTGGGGGCGGGTGGCTTTCCCGCGGTGTTTGGTGGCGTGCCTGCTCCCTGCCCGCCGGCCCTGGCCTCCCCGGCAGTCGATTTTGCTTGTGCTCTGCTTAGCCTGGGCAGTACTGACAGCAGCTCGTTTATTCCTTGGGCCCACCAAAACAACTTGGGCTGCCGTGTCTCTGGGGCCGTCTTTTTTTGGACGGGGGATAGCGATGGGTAGAGCTGGACAAGCTCAGGGCTGCGATGGGCTTTGTGTCTGTCTGTCTGTACGGGACGGGGATCTGCTTCCTGCTTGGAAGGAAACCCGTGAGAAACACCGGTTATAGTAATCCGTCGAGAGAGCAGAGTATATAAACACAGCATAAACTCATTCATACTCCATCCGTTACACGTGGTTTTCCACTCATTCTTGCCTATGCTTGTGTCGTGAGGGTTTACCTAACTAGTTCTGATCACTTCTTATATAATGTAATTAGATTTATTTAGTTTTGGTTTTGTTTTTTTCTTTTTTATTCTGGGAGGAATCAAGGTTGTGGCCATTTGGAGCTGTAGCTCACAGTGGTTCTATTTGGTTTGAGGCTCAAAACTGAACCCAAGCGGGAGCCTTCTGTGGGATCTTCTTTCCAAGCTCATATTTTTAACTGTAGGTGTCTACTCCCATATCACTGAGCAAGTGTAGAAAAATAAAGTATAGAGATGTATGTTTCCCTCCCAATTAGGACTTTTTAATATTAAATCTATGCCGGGCTTCAATCTTTGCAATTGAAACAGGGCACAAAGTCCTATTTCTGACAGAGTTCATCTAGTTTAAATTACTTCGAAATACTTCAGTTTTATCTCATGCTGTTGACATATCCTCTGATGTATTGAAGAGTAAGTCATGGCTGGTTGAAGCCTTGTTCACCTTTTTGTAATTGTTGAAAGCAAAATATCTGGCATTATCCTCCGATTTCATTGGAAACTGGAAAATACTGAGCAAGGGAGACTAATGCATGCTATTGCAATTTTCTTTTTTATAAGTCTGATTTTTATGGCTAACCGTGGAAATTGGTCCTAAGCAGTGTGTGAAATTCAGGTTTGGACTTTTGATAGCTGTTAGTTCTTGCATGTGTACAAAGTCACAAATAGGCATTAATTCCTTGTTTAAAAACTAGATAGCAGTGTTCTAGCATGGGTAAGGCTTAGGATTGAAAAATTAGGGAAATTGTTTTACATGTAGGAACCAGGATGTGGTGATGCATTTACTTCTGTATATGGAATGATTTGCTTTTTTTAAAATTTGGAAATCAGAATATGGGGACATATTGATACCATAAAAAGGATGCTTTTAGTAGTTTCTGAATGTGTTGAACAAATTTTCCACTTCTGATTTGCTGTCTACATGGCTGTTCTCTCCTGTCTTGCTGTTGCATGATTCCAAAACAGTATTTTAACTTCAATTCCTTCTTTTTTGTTTTTGAAGTGGGTATAGCATAAGGAAACTTGAATTTGGGGGTGTTTTATTTGTGTATCAAGAACTTGAACAGTTACTTATACCAGAAAAGCTCAGTCCTCTGGTTTCTTTTGAGCTACCTGACAACTGTCTTGATTCTTTATTTCACAAAGCAGTCTTCCCTCTGTGTTCATTATGTTTAGGTAACTGTATTTTTGCTGGCATTGTTCTCCTTGAGCGGATTTTGCTTTCATGGAAGAAATGCCTCTCTACTTTCAATTTAACCTGTGTGGCTGTTGTCATTTAAACACTAGATGTCACTGTTGCAGTTAGTATATAAGGATGTACATACATACATATATGCATACATATGTGTCTGTATATGCATTTATAAATTAAAATTTTTGAACTGGAAAATATATTTTTTTCTCCAAACTTGCCTCTTCTAAACATCAAAATATTCATTATTAATAAATTCCCAAGACTGCCTTTTCCCTTTTACCCAACCCATTAAATCACTTTAAATCATCACTGAGATGAGCAAGTACTTGCACTGCATACTTCCTAATAAATTCATTATGGTGGTGCATGCCTGCTTGAGGAATTAATTGTAGCAGCAAGGAGAATGCAGCCCTGAATTTGGATAACATTTACATATGGAGCAAATTAAACCAGTGATGGATCCTTACTAGAAACAGGACTGATACTTTTTTTTATTCCTTTTTTTACCCCTAGATTCTGAGTTAAGCTCAGGACTTCCAGAAGACAGCTACTCCTCAGGAGGGGAAGCCCTGGATGGTGATGATGAAGATGAAACAGGCAATGTGGTTGAAGAGGCAACAAGCTCCAAAGCTGGCCCAAGTGCAGGCTGGGCAGATGCCATGGCAAAAGTGCTCAACAAAAAGATTCCGCAAAATAAGTCCACCATCTTGTCCAAGAATAAAAAACTGGAGAAGGAGAGAGAAAAGGAAAAACAAGAAAGGCTGGAGAAAAGAATGAAGGTGAGAAAAAGATGCGGTATTTTATTGTGCATTTACAGTCAGAGGGGGATAGATCCAAGATTCCCTCAGCAGGGATTTGGGAGACTGCTCTGAGATTGTCTCAGTTTTGGAATCTCTCTTCCACAGTGATGTCAAATAGCTTTAGTTTTTTTACATTCCAGACAGTCACGCTGTAGGGCTTTTTCCCTCACTGCTTTTTCTGGGCCATCAGCAGACTGATCTTTGGCAGCAGGACTGTTCTAGCCTGTCAGCTTAAGGTGTTTTTGTTGTTGAGATGGTGAAAGGATCTGCTTTAAGCTTAGTTTTCTAATTGCTGTTGTTAATTTGGGGTATAATTCACTTTGTTGGCACTACTAAGGCATTATGAAGTAGTGCTCTCTCATCAGAAGTCGGGGGGAGAAAGAGAACTGCTTTCATTTAAATTCTGCTGTGACTTCCAAAGTAAAAGGCCTTTAGGTTGAGATTGCAGTAGTTACTGATGTGGTTGTGAATCATTGTGTGCTCCTCTAGATGATTTTCTTGGTAGAAGTTTTCTGTTACAGTGTCTGTTCCCTAAATTGCTTCTGAAACTGTTATGAAGAAAACAAAACTATGTTGGCAATTAAGTCATTTGTTTGTGTGTCTTTAGTGGAACTTTTAATTCCAGGCTGTTATTGAGTTACCTTCAGGCTAAAAATATATTAATAGTTGTAATGTCTCATCTTATTTGTTCTGTTTCAGTAGGATAACCAGGTTAATCTCTTGACAGTCTGGGACATGCTGTGGTCAGGCCATGGCCTGCCTTTTAAAGACGGAGAGCTTCAGTATGGCATCTGCTCAGTTACGCTTGTTCTAAATACCTGTTCTCATCCAGTAAATATGTGAGACTACTGCAAAGCAGAGGTGGGCTGCAGGTCCCCAGATTGACTTGTTTACCCTTAGAAAAACTTGAGAAGAGTCTGCCTTCTATTAATTTTTTGCTTATGGAAGCTACAGTAGGGCAGTTCTTTTGATAAAAGGCTAAAGTATTGGCTATAAACTCACAAATTTGTAGCAGTCTGCCTGGAATTATAAAGATAAGGACTCTGAAATTTCATGAAAGACTCCTTGCATAGAACAGACTTAATGGAACATCACCAGGCCTAGAGCACTGTTAAATTGTTAAAAGGGGGGAAAAATATTTCACTACCTTATTCCTGAAGCAGAGGCTGGGGTTATACAGTGTTCTCCTATTGTAGTAGAAAAAAAGCTGCTGTTGTTGTGGCTCCTGGTAATGGGAAAGTGGATCAGTTTGCTCTTGAAACAGGACGTCAAACACCAAACAAAAATCAGTGTTGTGCAGAGGAATCATTCTCTGGTGGGCACTTGGTGCTTTTCCTGGTGTTTTGAGTTCTGCCAGTTACAGACTTTGCCGTGCATCACTTGGTCACAAGCTGTACTGTGATTGAGTGGGGGAAGTCAAATTCCCAAGGCTCAAAATGCAGCATGCCTGTCTTGATAGACATAGGATTTTATTATTTATAGGATTACATTTCTCTGTGATCACTTTGTGAAGTCCTGGAGTTGAAAGCTCTCTTTGAATAATTTCTTTGTTCATAGCAGAGTGTGAAAGCATTTGAGTTTTTCTAGACTTGTTTTGCTTGTCTTGAGCCAGAGGCATCGCTGTGGTGTGACTCTTTTCTAGTTCTTATTACAGAAGACAAATGATTCTTTGAGATTTGACTGTGGCCCCTGCTATGTCAGTGCAAGAGACTTGCCTCAGACCTGTTGTGCAGCCCCATATTGGAGCTCCCCTTAGCCTCAAACCATACTGAGCTTCATTGATGTACTTTTTTTTTTCCCTCTTACTACATATGCTGTCAGAGTACGCTGCTTTCTCACATGCTTCATGTTGTTTCACATAACAATATTTATAATGCAGCTCGATAAGAAGCGGGAGTGGGAAATGATGTGTCGAGTGAAGCCAGATGTTGTCAAAGACCGAGACAGAGAAAAAAATCTTCAGAGAATTGCCACGAGGTAAGAGTTTTTCTGAATGCTTTCCTTAAATATATGTATGTCAAAAAAAGGAGGAAAAGGGGAAGAAAAGGCCTGTGCAGGTAATCTGTTTCCAGTCAGATTGAACTCTTTAAGAAGTGTCTAACAGGAGAGGAGTGATTTCTATACAGGTCTGCATTGTACAGTATCAAGTTCAACAAGAGATTTCAGAAGCCTTATGAAAGAGTAAAAATTTAGATGAGAATGTAATGTTTGCTTAACAGAAGTGTTTTGCTGGATCCCCTCATTTTGTTAATTTAATGCTTTCATAATGCAGAACAGTTGTTTCTACTCCTCTATTTTTTCTTCTCTGCAGAGGATTCACCAGATCCATGTCTGTTAAGTTTGATTACCTGTTCTGCATAGCTGGTGTTGCAGAACTGGTTGAACGCCTTGATGTGCTGTCTGTGTCTGTCTCCTTATTCATTCCTCTGTTGTGTCCCCCTACTTCAGCTGCTCTCAAGGCCTGAGGAATTTAATAGCTGATTATAGGACAAGTAACATGCTTCTGGGGATAAAACATGCTCTTGCAATGATCTCAGGACCATGTTACCATGCTTACTTCAGGGTCTGAATAGTTATTTGTTGATTTGTTTGTTACTGTTTCCTAGCAGTAACATCTTTTATGTTGTAGTAAATGTTACTTCTTTGCTGAATTGGCAGTTCTGAGTAACCATTTTGGGGAGCTAGAAGCCATCCTGCATCCAGCATCTGCACTGATTAGTTGCTTTGATATAGAGTTCATTTCTATAAAGTTATTTTCTAGAACTTGAGTTAAAAACTTTGTTTTGTTGTTTTTTTTCCCCATCCCAGAGGTGTTGTACAATTGTTTAATGCTGTCAGGACGCACCAAAAGAATGTTGATGAGAAGGTGAAGAAAGCTGGGAACTCTGACAGGCAGCGTGCTAAACTGCTGTCATCTGTTTCAAAGAAAGATTTCATCAATGTTTTAAGAAACATGGAGGGTGCTAAAGGAAGCAAGAATCCTGCTGGAAAGGCCACAAAAAGTAAACAGGTAGGCTTTGTCTGGGAGAAAAAAAGGCATACAAGATACCTTCTCAGTATAACTACTGTCCATTATTGTGCCTGCTCTTCAGAAAAGCTGTGATCCAAGTGCCTGGGTTTTTTTGAGACTACTTAAGTGCAGAGCAAGTAGCTCTTAGGCTGTTTTCCCTGTCTTGAGTATCAAGGTAAAAAACACTGGAAGCTCTTCTGATAAGACGTCAAGCCTTGTGTACAAATGGCTTGGTTTAGCTCTGTGTTTAAAAAAATATGAAAAATTGGAGTTTATCTTGGATTTTGCACCAACCTTGGAACAGATGGCTAGATTTTAGTGGGTTGTGACATTCAGAATTTGGCCAATAGTAGTTATCAGCTCTTTAAAGTCATTAAAGACATGGGGGCTCTTCATCTTACAGGGTGTATTAGACTGTACTACTTGTGTGTACTCACCATTTTGGGCACTTCAAAGTCAGTTCCTCTGGATGGTTATTGTACCTGGAAATGAAGGGTTTTGCCATACAAGTGGATACCACAACAGGGTAAACTGAGATATACTAAACATATGTAGGCTTTTCTTTTCCTATTTGTGTGTGTGTGTGTATGTTAGGCTGATGTGGCTTTATTGCTGTTACGATGTTCTGGAAAGAAGTATTTTAACACATTCTACTTTTTCCGAACGTGCTCAGGAGAGACACAGTGTAGTTGGACTCATCCAACTCTTTATCGGTTCTTTAAACTCACCAAGTAGCTCAGGGTTGAAAACAAGTTCCTCAGACATACTCTTTCTCGTATTTCAGAAGCTGCACATTTTTGAAGTGTATTTGTGTTCAGGTTTGAACTTTGTGCTTGGTAGTGGGTGGAATACTTCTGTTGGCCGAGACTTCCAGCAGTTAACTAAGTGCTTTTCTGTGCCAGGAAGAAATACTTTAATCAGTTGGGAGACAACAGTTTGTCATATGTTTTTTGTTTGCATGCACTTGGGGAGCATGCTGAAACACTGCCTGGCATGAAGAGCTCATACAATTTTCATGCAAGTGTAATATTAAAGTATTTTTAAAATTCTTTGGATAATGAGAACAATTTAGCTTGGTGCTGACACTTTATTTCTCCTTAAATAATTCCAGCTTGCTTGTTTGGGTGGGTGGGGCGTGTGTGTGTGGTTCTTTTTTTTTTTTTTTCCTCTCCTCCCCTGGAATAGCAGAACATTGGAGTGATAGCAGGGCCAACTACTGTTGTAGTAGGCGTTGAATCAATAGCTGAGCAAAAACTAGGACCTTTTTTCTTTGTGGCGGATTGTGACATGACAGTTTGCTAATTACTAGATCAGAAAACATAGATTGCAAATGTTTCTATACCATTAAAAGGTCTTATTTTGGCAGCATCAGTTAGAGCATATTTTCATTAAAGTGCTCTAAAGATGCTTTAGTTGCTGGCTGGTTAATGTCAGTTTTGAGTATTGATATAGGTGCTGCTTTCACATTGCTTTTGAACAAAAACTTCAGATATTGGAGTTTTTCATTAATACAAAGCTATACTTGTAGGTTTGGATTTTTGTCTGGGCAGGAGGTTGGGGTTTTTGAATAGCCATATCTTGGGGTGTTTGAACAGCCATATCTGCCTGGATTGACCATTCCCCTCCCTCTCTCCTTCATTTGCTTCAGCGACTCTCAGTACTGAACAAAACTCTTTTATAACTCGTTTTCAAAGCTGTTCTTAATCTTCCTTGTTTTCTCTTGAGAACACATCTTACCCATTTAGCAGGCTCCCATTCTTGTAGTTGTTGATGCTTGAGGTTGAGGCCAAAATCTGATCTTCAGTCTCCTCCTCAGAATTACCAAACATATAGCCACTGAACAGTACTGCTGGCCTCCACTATCATGTGTTGTCTTCTTGGTCTTTGAGGGTTTTTCAGAGAATGGTGAGCAGGGATTAGGCTTTTGAGTGGTGAATTCCTTGCAGCAGAAGTTTGGTAGATTGTTTGTGCCTTTTGTTTGTTTGTTTTGAGTTTGTTTTTTTTTTTAAACAGCCTGCTTTGTTTTTAGCACTTGAGAGTATGGCATGTATTTAATTTTTAAAAAAGAGGGGGGAAATACATTTATTTATCTCAACAAAAACAATGGAGGAGATGCCAATCCCAAACTCCAGGCATTCTGCCATCAATTAAAATGCAGTCCAGAACAATAAAAACACTACCCCACCCACATAAAACAAGCAGTCAGCAGGAAAAATAGCAGAGTAAAGTTTTACCAGTGAAAGCAAGCCTTTCTTAACTTGTGCCTTGTGCTATGAAAGGAGATTTGACTGTATTTGTGAGAATGGGCAAATGCTTTTTCCTACTCCGCAGTTGTTTTCAAATGCAAAATTTGGAAAATTTGAAAGTTTGTTGGCTTCTTCCAGATGTCAGGGTTTGTTTAAGAAACCCCTTCTAAAGCTCTGTTGTGATTAACTATTTAGTCAGGTGTATGCATGCATGAGAAGAAGAAATTAAATGCTCTGTAAAGACCTGTCTGTAGTAATGGGATTTCATGGTAGCACAACCACTTTAAAAAAGTTTGTTCTCTATTTCTGTCAGCTTCATGCATTGATGGGAAGGACAGGTAACCTGTGCCCTGGGAGAACATTGTTTGTAGTCTTGTATACTTTTAGCCATTGGCCTAAATATTACTTGATGTACACCCACCCAATTTAGTTGTGAAAGAAAGACTGTAAGGCTGTGAAAATTTTCCTGTGCCATGTGAAACTGTAGTCCTTCTTGGGGTTTTGTGTGCCCAGATGGGAGTAATTACTTTGCCGAGCTGGAGCCAAAAGCTTTGCCTTTCATATCATTAGCTGTTTATCAAGGTATTTCTTAATCCTTTCTGAGCCAGCTGACTTGTGTAATATTTTTTCCTGTTTTTTTCCAAGGTACTGTATATGATGCTTGCCTCTGGGTAAGATCATGTAATTTCCCTTCCCTCCACACCTTATCTGAAAGCCTTGCAATGTGGGAGAAAAATGTAGTAATTTTCTTTTAAAAAAGAATCTTGCTTGTTTGTTGTTTGGGTGGTGTACTTTGGGAAAGCATTTATTGGGAGATATTTGGGTTGGAAGGAAACTTAGACCTATCTGTTCCAAGCCCCCTGCCATGGACAGGGACACCTTCCACTAGACCAGGTTGCTCAAAGCCCTGTCCAACCAGCCTTTAACATTTCCAGAAAGAGGCAGCCACAACTTCTCTGGGCAACCTGTTCTAGTGTCTCACCACCCTCACAGTAAAGAATTTCTTCCTTATATCTAATCTAAATCTGCCCTATTTCAGGACCCCTTGTCCTATCACTACACCCCCTGATAAAGACTCCCTCTCCATCTTTCCTTGTAGGTCCCCTCTAAGTACTGGAAGGCCACCCTGGAGCCTTCTCTTCTCCAGGCTGAACAACCCCAGCTCTGTCAGCCTGCCCTCACAAGGGAGGTGCTTCAGCCCCTGATCGTTTTCATGTCCCTCCTCTGGACTCACTTCAGCAGGCCCATGTCCTTCTCTTGCTGGGGGTCCCAGAGCTGGACACAGCACTGCAGGTGGGGTCTCACAAGAGTGGAATAGACGGAGAGAATCGCCTCCCTCGACCTGCTGGCCACATTTCTCTTGATGCAGCCCAGGATGTGATTGGCTTTCTGGGATGCAAATGCACATTGCTGGCTCATTGTCAGTTTTTCATCCATCAGTACCCCCAAGTTCTTCCCCTCAGGGCTGCTCGCAATCCACTCATTGCCCAGCCTGTATTTGTGCTTGGGATTGTCTCAACCCATGTGCAGGACCTTGCACTCGGCCTTGTTGAACTTCATGAGGTTTGCATGCGCCCACCTCTCCAGCCTGTCCAGGTCCCTCTGGATGCCACATCCCCTCCCTCCAGCCTGTCGACCGCACCACGCAGCTTGGTGTTGTCAGCAAACTTGCTGAGGGTGCGCTCAATCCCACTGTCCATGTCACCAACAGAGATGTTAAACAGCGCCAGTCCCAACACTGACCCCTGAGGAACACCACTCTTCACTGCTCTCCTCTTGGACATAGAGCTGTTGACTGCAACTCTTTGAGTGTGACCATCCAGCCAGTTCCTTACCAACTGAGTGGTCCACTCATCAAATCCATGTCTCTCCAATTTGGAGACAAGGATGTTGTGCGCGACAGTGTCACATGCTTTGCACAAGCCCAGGTAGATGATGTCACTTGTCTTATATGAGAGCTTTCAATCTTGTTCAATACAATCCTTACAGAGCAGATTTTCATTTCAGTATGTGTTAGTTGTATCTTGCAGCTTTCTACCTGTAAGATACTATAAGAAACATTATTAAACTACAGGTTTATAAAAGGTACATAGGTTTCTTTCTAGGCCTAGAGCTGAAGTCATCTTTATGGCTATAGAAGAAATACAGAAGTAGGTTGTGGCAGTAAAGGCTTACTTGCAGAAATCTTTTGTTTTCTTTAGAACCTTAAGAAATTTCTGGGTGATCTTAGGGTTATGAGTTAGAGAAGTACCTTTGCTTCCAGGGTTGAATGAAATTTCTGATCTTAGACTTGCACAGAGATGTTGGCTAATATAGTGAATTACATACGGTCTTGAAGTCTTAATTGTAAGTAAACAAAGAAATTCAGAGTTAGCATTCCCAGAGAAGCCTCAACTCCTCCCTTGCTGCATGTCAGTTACAACAGGGTTGTTCTGTACCAGAAGCTCTCATGTTGATTTTTTGCTTGTCATTTGTGCTATTCCCTGTAATGCATTACTGCTGGGTAGTAAAACATTTTCTAGTGACATATAAGTAACTAGCATGAAAGTTACAAATATTCTTTGTGACAGGCATAACCTGCGCTCATCAGCCTTTAATTTTGAATTAGGCCATTTTAGTAGGTTTTCTGAATCACCTGTGTTTGCTTCCACTTGTAGGTTTTATTACACCAGGTTTGTTGCAGAGCATTTCAGTGGTGCGAGAGCAGGGTTTCCTGGTCCACTTCAGTAACCGTGATCCAAATTCTGCAAAGTA